AGGAGGCTGTTGTGAGCTTGGGTGCCCTGTGGTCTTAGGTGACGTAAACCTACACCTGCTTAAAATTGGATGACCGTAGTTGAAAAATTATAAAACATTGATCACAGCTGAATAGCATACAGACTGCGTAATAACAACATGTAAAGGCAGAATAGCAAATAAAAACGAGTCGGGGGTTGCTTACACATAGTAGATTTGAACTGCTATTCACTTTAGACCTTGGTCAAGAAATTTCGTGACAAGAATTAATGAGATGCTTCTTGCGCCTAGAGAAAAATATATGACTGTTTTATAGTTTTGCCTGTCAAAAAAGACTGCTTTGCAGGTGCAAAGTCTTGTTGTTTTGCTGATTATTCATTACTAGGGAAGTAGACATTTATTGAAAGTAGATTATAAGCAATAAATATTCGACGGTTTTGTATATATCAGTTGATATCAGTTGTACCATAACTCGAATATAAGTCCGATTTCTCTTGTTTTCTTTATTCGCTCGCTTTGATTATAGATCTGACAATGACTTTTTCAATTCAAGACACGGAATTCAAATCAGTGGAACACGCTTAACAGACAGATTTAACTGATAAGGTTGTTTTCATGCGGTTTAATATTATTTACTAAGCATACTTAATATATATTTTTTGCAATAAAAATGGTGTCAAGACGGATGTATACCGTCTTAAACTGATTCTGAATCCGAAGACACTAAGACACCAGTCAGTTTGAAGTCGAATTTAGCAAAACGAAGCGAAACAGCGGAAGGTGGTGCAATATTATCTTTCTCTTTCCTTCTCTAAATTAATATCAAAGAATGCATTATTTTTTTCAGTCATTGGATTCACATTCAAGTTTAGCAAATAGCTTAAGGAAAATTAACATATTTTCTGAGAAATTAAAAAAATTAGAGTAGCAGGCATGAAACGTGCTTATTTTTCTAAGTAAAATTTTGTAATTCTGTCAATGAGATGCTTGTTGCGTCGAAATTTCGAAATCTATCAGGAAGTACGCTAGCCTACCTTTCCATGCACTGGACATCATTAAGACCAAGAGCCATCTCTCATGACACAATTCCTTTTCAAAGTGAACACAGCCGTTCTAACAGCAAATCCTCATGCACACCACTTTGATCGCTGAAGTTGTTGCTCCTTCGGGTTTTGATATGATTTTCTTTTAGTACTGAATTACTGATGCTGATCGACAACGAATGGCAAGAGAACTTGTTTTCAATAATAATCATTTGATACGTTACAGTCCAAAATGGTCGCAAACCCTACGCCTCCGGCTTGACGATGATATATCTCGTCCGGCTGCGCTATTACTAAGAGTGAGGCTATGCCAATAAAATAGCTTTTTCTCACAATAGTCACTTTAAACAATAATGCAAGATACCTTTTCATTTGGTAAAGGAACTAGATCGGCCGCATTCAAGAAACAGAAAAGCTAAAATAACATGAGCGATTTGGGCTACTCTCACGAGGAACCGGACGAACTTTTGACCGTTTTGAAAAATTTAACCGGACACTTTGGCTCAGTTCACACGGAAGTTTGATCTGTTAAGCGTTCAAGTTTTCGTACGGTTAAGGTGATTCCTTGTGATAGCTAGAGCTTGTCGCGTACGAGACTGGTCACTAAGAGAGCTTCAACTATGTACAGTGCAAATGCAACTGATTTTAGTGCATTAACGCAAACCTTTCTAGTTTGTGGAGGGCAGTGAACAAAGTAGTGATCTCGACTCCTGCGATTTCAGACCTGTGCCCCTATTTCAATCGAACAGAAATGGAAACATCAAATAAACCGTATCAAGAAGCATAAAAAAATGAGTCTTCCTGTACCTAAGGCTTTCATTCGTTGTAGGATGAAATACCTTAACTTTCTACAAAGCCATGCACTAGCTTTAGGTATTGTTTATTTAGCCTGTTTAGTTTTAACTGTAATACTAAACCCCCAACTCAAGCGCGTTTTCGTGGATGAGAACGGGTCACGTGTCATAAACATCTGCGGCCTATGTCAGTGTTTCGGCCGTTGACCGAGAAAGCCTGGGAGGTCTCCGTACAGGAACCAGGCAATTACCTCCCCAAAGAAAACAAAACTCCTTTGCACGAAGTCATTTCGTGTACCTTGAAACCGTGGAAAATCTACGCTTCATTCGCGCTAAGGCAAGATGTGGCGAACAAACTTATGCTGAGTTAAGATCATCTAACCTCAGAACTGCTAAAGTACGCTTCATTTACAAGGTCAGGAGTGTGGCATGGGATTTTAACGTACAAAATCTGAAGAGGTTTACTGGGAAAGAAGAAAAATGTTTAAACTCCTGAGTTTCTTTTGCACATGTGAAATTTCATTTCATATTCGTCATCTTAGAATTGTTTTTCTACTAGGACATGAAAAAACGCAGGAAGAACCGTTTATGTAGAACATTCATTCGGAGTAGATGAATAAACAAAAAAAGAAGAATATTTTATATGACGTTTGTCCTAATACGACCTTAAGTCCTTATCAGTTAAAGTGCGTTATTACGCTGATTAAAAATGATTTGCTCCTTACCAGAAAGAAATATTCTCGTCGCTTGTCTGTTGCTATAAATCTTCCCCGATGATTGGCAACACAGGGAGGATAATAACGGCTAAATCAAATTCGATGGTGAATTTCCCATCGAAAATTACGTGTTTTAATTGGACAGAAGACAGTAATGTTAATAACATGATTAGCTATAGTGCGTCATCGAGAAATCGTTTAAATTTGAGTCTGGGAGTACTTTTGCTTACCTAAAAAAGGCTCTTAATCCGCACTGTTTTTGTTTTGACATGCTTGACACTTAGAACTGAACGTTCGACATGATCGTCCATTGCGCAAGAAGCGCGTGTTTCGTTCGTAGCCAATTTCCATGTGTCAGCGCCGTTTATTACAACATCGAAACGAAAATGAACATTCGAGTTCGTGGAATCCATTGGGGGAAGGGACGAATTAAATATACACAGATGAAAGGAATACAATGCAACTTTATAATTTAGAGCCTGGTTGTGGTATTTCTACATTACTTTTTACTTTCATTGCTTGAAGCTACTGTTTAATGTCTTACCAGTTCCAGCACGATAGGTCCGTAAGTATGGTTAAGTTCGGAAGCAGGGAAGTAAGCCAGTCACACTGTGTGCATGGGTTTTATAGCGCACAGGTGCCATTAAACATGATTTTTCTGGTGCACAGCCAAAAATCCAGTCGCATATGCGAACAGTTAGTCGTCCGTTTTGAGCCCTGTAGTCTTATTACCAAATCGTGTAGCTTTAATTGAGTTGCCTGTTTCATCGGTCCATTCAAATAATTAAAGGCACAACCACACATAAGAAAATTACACGAGGTATTTGACTTCAACCACTACGACATGGACCTCACCGTCCTTTTTCTAGTATAAACTACATGTGTAGGGTATTGTTGTTTTGACTTTACGGGGATTACTAAATTTGAATAAGATTTCAATCACGTAGAAAGACGAAACACCTAGTTATTTCGCAATCATGGAAATCATTTGTCGGTCATGATAAAAAAGGACTTGAGAAAGACCTTTCCAACACTAGTCTCGCGTGTTTCAAAAACACATTCTGCGGAACCGCCCGTCAATGCTGCCACTATTAAAGGGGTACGGCTTTCCGTAGTTCACAAATACTTTTAGCCAAAAAAGAAAGAAAGAAATGTATCGTTATTATTTCTCAAGGTTTATTTTCGTTTTTCACCTGGACTGTACATTTTTTGGCTTGAGTGGACGTATTAACGAAGTGAGTAATATTTTTTAGTTAAAAACATTCACCTCGAATCTCCAACTCTTAGATCACTGCAAATATCGAAATTCCCCACGAATAGAGAAGAGAAGTGTGACGTCACGTTTCCATGGTAGCAACATTTCTGGATTTCAACAATCTTAAATACTAGGGGGATTAAGAAACCGCGTTGGCGACGGCAGAGAAAACGTCACTTATAAGGTGACTTAGCGTTCCCTAAAACTTCAGCGCGATTATTCCTATTCACTCAATTGGCCTAGTGTGGGCGAACTCTCCTGGTATCGAATTCTTGAGAAAAATATTCAAGTTTAAAAAGACTAAGTTGTTGTTTTGGTAATCTTAACCTTGACGTTCTCGTTGCCGTCGCGCAATGAAATCTTACTTGCTTTAGAAAATTCACGAACAACGACAAAGGACAATAAACAGGGTCTGCCGGGGGGGGGGGGGTAGTGGTATACCAGTTTACCCGGAAAAAAATTTGCAAAAATACCCAAACTTTATTCAAATATAACCAAAATTATTACCAGGTTATTTTTATATTTTAAATTTAAAAAAATTTATTTACCTATTTCCCTTTTTTATATTTGGGTCTGTTCTCTCTTTGATTGTTACATACAAAAAAAATTTAATTTCAAGCAATCGTTGTTTTGTTTTTTAGTATTCTGTAGCTGCTGCTCGCGTTCTGGGAAGCAAAAAAAATTTTTTTTTTTTTAAAAAAAAACAAAAAAAAAAACGAAAAAAGCAAAAAGGCTGGGGGGGGGGGGGGGGGGGGGGTAGTGGTATACCAGTATACCCGAAAAAAAATTCGCCAAAATACCCAAACTTCATCCAAATATACCCAAAATTATACCCAGGTATACTTTATACTTGAAATTCAAAGAAAGTGATATACCGAATACCCGTATTTAAGCTGCAATATACCGTATACCCGATTTTAAAAGCCCCTGTATACCGTATACCCAAGAACCCTGGCCGACCCTAAATAAAAAGCCGTATATTACAACCATTGGAACGAAAAAAAAAAACAGGGAAAATTGATTTCGTCTATTGTGAACTTTCCATTGTGTGACTGTTTTAGCTGCCAGTAACTAATTAGCTTTAACTTCCTGGATGTAATGTTACATAATCTCGCTTATTATCCAGTAAAATGATTTTCATGTATTAGTGGAGAAGTTAGCAATTGGTCACTGTTGGTATTTAAAAGCATCAAGGCTCTGTTCAGTATATTTCTTACGGTGTTTCTCTGTACTTCAGTAAATGAATGTTCTCTTTTATGCTTGTCAAGAGACTTTCAGCTGTTGGTGGAGGGATTTCCACTTTTGGCGACTTGTAGGAAACATATGGTTTCAACTAAGAACCAAAGAAAGGGAAAAATTATGATATAGTAAAGACGTGAAAGACTGGCTTGACTACTAGTATGCTAGAATCAGGAATTCTTTGGTAGGGGGAAAAATCCATTGGGCTTCCAACGAGACCTTAAAAAATCCCTGGACCAAAGTTAAACTACAAAAAAAACCATGCTGAATTTCCGAGCCTTTAAACTTTCCAGAAAGCATTAAATGATATAACATGGAAAACAACAAAAACTAGGCGGCCGGGATATGCTGGCACTACCACGAATCTTCAGATTGTTTTGAATAAAAAATCCCTACTTAAATCAAGCCACGAAAAAAAATTCCAGCCACATTTTCCCACCCAAAAAAATCCCGGGATCAAAAATTTCAAACCACCAAAAATCGATCATCTGCATCATTTAAAATGTGGAGTACCCCCTGGGGGACAGGGCTGCTAGTTGGAACATTGAATTCAACCTTGCCTCCTGGGCTTTTTTCCTTGTTTTAACTTACAAAGCCACAATATGAACGTGCAAAAAACTCCATTCCAGACTGATCTCCAGCCATTCCCACAGAAAAATTAGTTGAGAGAAGTTGATCAAAGATCAAAGCATTTTCCCTTTAGTTATAATTTACTCATGACAATTGCCGTAACCTTTTCCATTGATTTTGTAATTACGTTGTTAGGAGAAATTGATGTTGGTCACTTTTGGGATGTGGAAGGTAAACCCTTAAAGGGACCAATCTGGGTGCATTAACCGCTAAAAGATACCAACGTTCTAAAACGTTTAACCACTGGTTTTTACATTCACGTTAAGATGACGCATATGACCAATATCTTCTTCCCCTGTCTTTAATTTCTTCACCCCTGATGATAGAATTTGCCCTGGAAATACCTCTGCTTTAATATAACTGAATTACCTCAAAGCCTGTCAAATCTGGGACAATAAACTCTGGCACTTTCTTGTAAACAATTCTGTATCCACCTAAAAAAAGATATAATTCCACTGATGCAAAGTGCTACAGAGGTAATTTGCAATCCAGGAGGAAAAGATCTTTAAGAACAATGTGTAGTCTGAGTTTTAAGCAACGAATTGAATGACTTACATGCAGGTGGTTGAGCATTTACATCTGTACTTCCTGTACAGCATACAGATGACGTAAAACAAAAAAACAAAACCATGAAACAATACCAAACAGTAGGTTGAGCATGATTGTCACATGAACATAGTCCAGAATAGGACTGTTGCTGCCAGTGACTGACGTATTGTGACTCACAGTGCCAAAGAGATTTAAACACCCTTAACAGAAAACTAAGAGGTCCTTTGTATTACATCATCTGTGTCCAGTACAGAAGTAAAAGCAGGTGGTTGTTCACAGGATTGTTAAAAAGTAAAAGAGTACCTGTTCATAGTTATGAAATTTAAAAAGCTGATGTGCTTCAAAAATGTTTCGCTTTAAAAAATTTCTTCAATTTTAGCCAAAAAAAAAAGCAGAAAAAATGTTTTCATGTCTTATACACTTTTAACAACAGCTTCTGGCCTGTACACTGTAAACTTTGTTGTCATGGTAGCTCACATTAGTGGGCCACTGGTGGTAGAAACATTTGAGCTTTTAAACCTCAGCTTAGACCTGTTCTCAAAATATATGTAAAATAAATAATCTTGAATCAATAGGAAACTAAAAGTACATGTGAAAGACAGTTCTTTCCCCCAAATTTCTTATAATCTTAGAAGTCTGTCTGAGTCATAGCCATTTCTTATGAACTTCAGAACTCTTTGGAATCCATGTACATATCTTCAGATACAATCGGTTCTCCACAAAAACATTTTGGCAAGTATATAGACAAAACAGAACAGGAATAATCCAGCTGAAATTGCTCTTTTTTCCCTCTTAGTTTATTAGTACAGTCCATGACAAGGCAGAAGGAGCAGCAAGCTACAGAGAAGGGCCATTACAACACAGGAACCCCGACATGATCTTACCTCTTCTTGTATGATAACCTGGAGGTCTGACCCCACGGCCTACAGTATAAAAAGTGAAAAACAATTTCTTTATTTAACCCTCTTTTAAGTTCTCACTGTTTGCCACCCATAATTCCCATTGGCCCATTTGTCCCTGGACATTTTGCCAACAAATGCTGTTTGGCACTAGTGGAGCCATCTGGCCATAAAGAAAGAAAAAAATGCCCAAAACAAGCACATTGCAGGCTGCTGTCCCTGATGCAAAATGACAGCTTCTAGCCATGTGCAGATGAAGTCAAGGACTTTGAGGTCTTTTCCCCTGATGTAAAAGTATTACAATCTCCAGGAATGTGCATATTTGAATAATTATTGAGTTATTATGCAGGCATGAAGTTTAATGCGCACAATAGAAGCAGTTAAAGTGCAAACCCTGGTTGCACTTTACCACAACGTAAGGCTTACAAAGTATGATCATGTCACTACAAAGTCATTTCGCTGTATAATGAAGTGGATTCCCCGCAAAGTTATAAAGTCGTTTTGCTGACTTTACTCGTTATTACCCATTTGTAGTTCATCCTAAATTGTTTTTAGCTGTTTAATACAAAAAGTTGGTTGCAGTGAATCAAATTTATGATGCATCAAAACAACTTGTGGTGAAACAACTGTAATTCAGGCTTTCCCTTCAAGATATCCACTCCAGGGAGTGGAACCCCAGTTTCACCTGATCTGTAGTCCACCCAGGAGGACCCCCCCCGCCCCACTCCTGGTTCCCCTTAGTTCCTAGTGACTGGGGGATATAGGCCTCACCCCCTGGAGACTGATCAGGGTTCCTGTCCGGGGTGGCTCACCCAGGTACTAGTGATCACTTGATCTTGTCTCCCCCCATGAGGGCTTCTCTCCTGGCCCCCTTACCCCAAGATTTACGCGCTCCCCTGCCACCAATATTTTGCCCATTACTTTCCTGCAGTCTTTTCTGCCTGGTATTACCGCCTAGAAGAGCAAAGCGCAGCCATCCGCCGATCGGAAGAGTTTATAATCTTTACCACATTAATTAGAATAAGTGAGCGTTTACCTTTGTAAAAGTTCTTGTTTCCCCTCTTGCCCGTCATTACTCCACGCGTTGCACCTCTGAAGAGGCCCCGAATAATATTCAGCGGCATTGATCGTGTAAACTAACTATCGATTCGAGAAAATTTGTCAAAATTGACCTAAAGACAAGTGTGTTCGATTAAAGATGGCGGCAAATGCTTAGCATCCACGCCTCTGTACGGCAAGCTTGACCCCAGTTCTCCTCTAACAGTCACCGAGGTGAGCAGAAAAAGAGCAGAGAGCATCTAACATTTTTCTCTCTAATATTTGAGCTGTAAGGGATATGTCGACTGGTACAGGTGTTCATAGGAAGAAGTCTACTTCTACAGGAACGACTAAAAAGGCTGCAGTAAGCAGTCCAGCGCGAAAAAGCAGCAGTCAGGGGGGATTTGTGGATCACATCTCACAGACCAGAATCAAAGATGTAAGTGTGCTATCAGTGGTTAGTCTCTCCAACGGAGCGATGACACTGTAAAATGCTTCTACCGTTAGAAAATTGTCAAAAAATTTATTTGAGGTTCGTTGTAGAAGAAATGGGACAACTTTCTCCATATAAGTAAAAGAATCATAAAGCTATTCTGCAAGTTTTTCCAGTGCCCTTGTTTTCCAGGAGAAAGGGGCCCTGAGGCTTTCGAAGTAAAACTTTACTTCCTGGGAAAAGCACTGAGAGGGTAAGTGAAAGATGAGCCAGCGTTTCTTAACCTCTATAAACAGTCATTTGGGACAATACATTAAAAATTATGAAAAACAGAACTTCTTAAGTGGAGTAAGTTACCAAAATCTATCCCTCTTTTCAGCTTGAACAGCAAGTGTCAGATCTGAAGAGACGCTTGGATGAGCTCCGCAAAGCTAAGAATACTACCATCGTTAAAAAGGACAAAGAATATATAACTACAGGGGCAGCTCAGTCTCCCCATAACAATTCAACTACAGCAAACTGTGTATCTGACCAAAGAGCCCCCTCTGTGGATACAGCAAATGAAGTAAAACTACAACAAAGTAAACAAGAGATTAAGACATTACAAGACAATATAGCTGCTATGAAAGAGCTGCACAGAGTAGAAATAGAGGAACTAAAGAATGAGATAGAGAAACAGGTACAGTAACTGTTTCTGTGAATTATTGAGTTCACTTCATATAAGCTCATTTAGGGGCTGCGGGAACTCCCTCATTTGGCCTATATGGTTATGTGCCACTGAGCAGGGTATGAATTTTAGGGTCTTGAGTCTAAAAAGGTATACAAATATTATTTAGCATCTTGAACAGGTTGTCTTTTTTGAGCGGAATCCTTTAAAAGAGTGTGGAGGTAATCAATGATTGGTGTACATTGTGGTACCAACAATTTTTTGTCAAAGTTCTAATTCCTTGATGTTGGTTTGAAAAGCTTAACTGTCCTCCAGATTTATTTTCCTTTGCCTTAAAAAAAAAAAAGAAAAAAACCGTCACCTACTATGCAGGCTACTAAGCTAAGAGAGAAGCCCAGTATCAATACAATTTTCCTGGCCTCTGGCCACATTTTTGACCTAACAATAGGGGGTTAGAGCCTGCTCCCCCTGACCCCTCCCCCAGCAACTGCAAATGTCTTGAATGTTGTTAGGAAATGTTTTGACTGTGTACCCCTTGATGTTGATCAACCAATGCCCATTATTGTTCTCTCCAGGCTAGACAGTCTGAGTCTGACTTTGCTTCTGACCTTGAAAACTTAAAGAAACAAAACAGAGAACTTAAGGAGGAAAATGAACTGCTCAATGCTAAGACAGTGACTTTACAACTACGAATTGATGATCTGTTAGAAGAGCTGAGTAAGAAGGAGGCTGAGTGGTGTTCTAAAGAAGAAAAACTAATTTTGGAGGTACAGTCAAATGCTGAAACACTGCTTTTAGACACCCGCTTAATACTGACACCTCATTATTATGGACAGTTTGCTTTGTCCCTAGGGAAAGAAATCCTTACATTTTCTCTAAATTCAACCTACTTATTACAGACACTTTCTATGGCCCCCTCAGTGTCCATATTAACTGGGTTTGACTTTGCAAAACAAATATGCGATATTAAACAGTAAGGGGTGGGAGCCCTGGAGAATATGTGGGAAAGGAAGTGTACAGGAGACGGAGTAGGCAAGAGTGGGAGGTCGAAGTTTTAAAAGGGTGGAGAGTGGGGGAAATAGGAGAAAATTTCACAACCATGCTCAGCCAGGGGTTTCAATAACCACCTACGACCGACGAAACACGTTGGCTACTTTACTCAGAACAGTCGGCTACTTTTTTCCTCAAAAAAGAAGGAACTAATTTTAATAATGTCTTGAACAAAAATTATATCATAAAATCCGGATTAAACATTATGATATGCTTTCAATGGCCCCTTGATGATACAGTCAGTTACTCTATTCAAACCTGCTGGCTACTTCAATTATTATTGAATTGCGAACATTTAAAAATGTTTGCAATCAAAAAACGGCTTGAGGGAGGAAGCAGAGAAAAATGGGGCAAGAGCCGGGAATGCAAGAGAGGTCCCCCTCCCTGACCAAGCTTGTGCAGTCAAGATGGCTGAATATTGACCAAGTTCTTTCTTTGCATATTCCATGAACAGTCAACGTCGATAAAACTGCAAAAGAGAACGAGGTCAATGTCCAACCATCTCGAACGGACAAGCTTGGTTACTAAAGTATTTGTTAAATGGCTAGGGGAACTTTTTCTTGCACGAACTAAGGGAGAAATCTTGAGTGGGCAAGGTAGGCCTATCTTGCTCACTTTTAACTCAGGATTTGCTTTATCACATGTGTCATCAAGCCTGCTCGCAAAACCAGCCATATAGCAGGGGAACCCAACGACTGATTTCTGTAAAATATCTGTTGGGAGTAGCAGATATTGCCAGGAATTTTCTATCACTTGAGGACGGCTAAAAATATCTGCAAAATGACCGTTCCATTCATGTACAATTTTCGAAGCTTATCTAATAAATGCCCTACGATTTTCTGAAGTGTATTTTTCCATATTTCACTCCCCGTACCTAACTTAGATATGGTACTTTCGGATTCAATTCCAGGACATTTCGTGAACATTTGACAATTTAAATGAAATTGAATAAGGTCGATAAAGTTTGAGACAGTTCAAATTCACTTTAATGACGTTTTTCAAGGTGCAAAGAAAATCATTTTTACAGCTTGCCATTGGGGCAAGCCGAAGCTAGCATTTACTAGCCCAGACGTCATTTCAACTAGCCCCAAAAGCTTTTCATCGAGCAGAATTGATTTCACACTTCTTCTGTTATTCGAATTCCTCGAAGAACATCACTTGCCCGTCGGGCAAGTTAAAAACAGATTTCACTAGCCCGATAGCAAAATCCACTATCCCCGGGCTATCGGACACTACTTTCTTTGTGCGCTGGTTTTCGGTTTGTTGGCAGCCAGAAATTTTGCTACTATGGCAACTTGACGTAACGTTTTTTCTTCCCTATAGCCAATGAAAGAAGCGATAGCATCTCTAAAACAGTCCCATAATGCAATTAGCCATAACTCGCGCAACCTGAAAATGGCCACCGGTTGTGAGTCATGTTTGGCGTGACAAATCTTTTATAAAATGAAATAAAAAACGTGATGAGAGCAGTTAAGAGTAGGTTGAATCAGTGAAACTGCGTCCACATCTAAGCTTTATGATTTTCAGGTTAAAACATCGTGGGGTGAGAAGTACCAGAAGTGGATGGCGCAGACTGAACAAAAGATAGAGGAACTACAAACAGCCAACAACTTCTTGTAAGACTGCCTTAGATGTAATTCCCGTTCACACTCTCAAACTGAGCCTGATTTCAGTCCCTTGGCATTGTGTTATATCAAGGCCCCACTGTGTTAGCAGTGAGCGAAGAAACGAGATAAAACGTCGGAGAGGGGGAGGGGTGGGGTGGAGAAGAGAAACGGTTACTGCAATTTTTCTGGCTGCACGTGTCCAAATAACTTAACCAAGCACGAGAATCTTCTTTTTAAAATATACACGTATCAGTTTATGGCGTAGAGGTAATTTAGCCATAAAAGGCTCAGATCTTAACGACTATACATACAGTTACACCGTGATTATTTCCATACTGCAAGCTTTTGTTATTTTTCAGAAAAATGCTCCTGGAAAAAGAAAAACCTGACAGGAGTTAAGGCTCAAAGAAGAGCAGTAGATGCGGTTTCGCCTTATCTATGATGGAACGATGCTGTCCAAGATACTACAGACCGATGAAACTGCTGGAGGTAGAGTAAAGGAGGAATTGTTCCGCGGGAGACTGAGTCAATGCTAGGCTCCATTTCCGCCGATCTCTCGGGTCAGGACCTCCCCCACGGGTGGCCCAACCTAAAGCTGTGAGTCACTGGAGATGATATTGCAAAATTGCGGTCATAGCGAAAAAATGTAGGAGTTTGTATGGCGATATTGAGAAGGGGCAGCGTGGCCGAGTGGCAAGCGCGTCGGACTCGCTATCCGGCGGTCCCGGGTTCAAGTCCCGCTCTGGCTTCTTGCTGGATTTGCCCTCGGTCGTTCCGAGTTCCAATCCTCGGCCACACTTGTAAATGGTTAACTGGCTGTCTCCTGCAATTTGAGATTTTTAATCCTTTCATGTTCTATTTGAATTAGTTGTTTCTAAGTATCTGAGTTGGGTGCCTGTAAACTAGCTGGATAAGCTAAGTGAACTTCCACTGTGAACTTCCACTTTTATTTTTTAACGCTACGCTGTAGAAAACGTAAAAACTATAAAATTATCAATAAAATCACCTTATATTACTTCTATGATGTATTTCTTGCTGTCTGTACCGTTACTTTCTCAAAACTACCAAGGGAGCTAAAACTCACAAAAAAACTAAGCGTCGAACCGGGAAAGTAAGGGCACAGAAAGAAAGTAATACACCATGGAAGTAAGATAAGGTATTTTCAATGAGGAATCGAATTTACAGTTTTTATGTTTTTCTAAAGCATATCGTAAATATAACCATACAAGCTCTTTCATTTTCGCCATTACCGTTATTTCACATTATTATCTTCAATGACTGACAGCTCAAGCTTGGGCCACCTGTGCCTCCCCAAGGGGGAAAAAGTCATTTCAAAATGAACTCTCGTAACTGTCCGTTGCCAGTGAACGGGGATCAAGCCGAATGCATAAAACTTTATTTGAATCTCGTGAAAACGAATCTTGGTTTTCTTGCCTTTTTCAGAGGCTCAGAATTATATTTTTTACGTTGAAATGCAAAGGGAGCTTTTATCGTCGGATATTTGACCAACACCGACACACCTCATTAACTCTGGAAAAACTCCTGCATGGACAGGAGCTGAGGAAAACACGCAAACTTAGAACTTAACAAATCCTCTGGTAAGTTGTTCTGCTTCCGAATAAGAATTCTCGAATTGGATATTACAATACATGACTGTTTAAATATGTGAATAACAGTACACAATGAATGAGTTTTTAGAGGGCAAAACAAGAAAAATGTTAAAAATGGCCAAATTAACTATTGGAGAGTTATTGAACGTCAACCCTGTAAACAGTTTGCTCAAAGCTTTTATTGGAGATCTTTAGTAGCTGCCTACGTCTTGAACTCATAACCGTGTATACCAGTAGTAAACATATGTGGTGGGACAAATCCTAGGGCAGAATAATACCGGTAATGTATTCCCAAAATAGCCTTAAACGTTGATTAGCAATTTTGCCACCCCAAGCCAACTAAAGGACAAAATGAGCTTATGATACGCACGTAGACGTAGAAAAGAATGCTACTAAAACGATATAAAATAGCGGGATTTAGCGAAAAAAAAATTTTTAACATTTTTTACTTCAATCTCTATCAACACTTACACAAACATAAAAAAATTGCGATACTTTACAATAAATTCCAGTATATTGTATTACAGTCTTGCTACAAAAGTACAAGAAAATGCGAGTCTAATGTTGAGTATAACCTCACTAGTTGAATTGAGATATAGCTAGCGAACAAACTTCTTCTCAATTAAAGGTTTCCATTTATTATAATAATATTCAGGTGAAATGACGCTTACTACAATTTGCTTTATTTACCACTATAGTTAGATAAAAACTTAATAACAAAGGCTCTTCTGTGATATTGCAGCAGTAGATATAATATTTCGCAAGTAGTAAGAGATGATTAGTTAACTTATTGAGGTGGTTGTTACCAATAATACCATACAAGATATTGATGGTTGATAGTTCTAGCCCTATTGAAACGTGAGACTTGTACCAGTACAGGAAAGCTTCCCAGAAGTCTGAGACGAATTGTCAAGAGATTAGCATGCGCATCTCCAAGGATAGAAGATGTTAGGCGAAGGCCGTGTCTGTGGAGTAGACACATACATGTGATTCTTCAAGGCATATAGCTTTCCATGATTCTCCTCCCATCGGTTCTAAGTTTGTTCCTTTTTTTATTTACAAAGAGGGCGGCTGGCAACGAGACACAGACGTTTACGTCCCGAGCAGCTTTGTCCAACTCCTCTCCCAGAAATCCAATTTCTCAAGAATACAAAAATATACCGTTTGAATACACCGTTTAAATCGTCCAAAGATGACCAAATATTTCTTCTATACCGTTATTTCGACCTTCACAAGCCCAACCAGGCCGATAGAAATTGTTTTTCCCCTACATAACAAACTTTGAAAAAGTTCCGTCGAACGACCAGAATCGAAATGCCGCACATGCGTATCACAGTCCCGTCAAAAATAATGCAATACTTTACAGGTAACCAATGCAGGGCTCTATTAAAAAGTATTGGTGTAGCATGACAAAATTTGGTGTAACACGACAGAAGAAGCTTTTTTTTCTTAATCTAACACAGAAGACATCCTAAATCCCTTTCGCCTCTATAATCATTCTCTTATAGAAGCTTCAGTGAATTTAACTGAAGTGTTCGCATAAACTCTGACGAACTAACCGCCATTACTTCTGACTAGTCATATTAGTTTGCAGGAGAGGAGGACAGGGGCGTGGGAGCCCGGGAGAATAAGGGGCGGGAGGTGGGAAGCGGGAGAAATAAAGGGAAATAATTACGCAACAATTAAAACTTAATGACTCGTCCCAAGGGAAACAGTTAATTTTGTTTCCCGAGAACCTCAATGAAATTCGAGGGAAACAAATTTTCCCGAGGGACCAGACTTTAAGGGCTCTGTTATATAGCCCACGAAGAAAAACAGTGCACTGTTATCCTGTGACGTCATACATTTGGTAATGTTGCCCGCTCAGAGATTTTGGCGGGAAACGGTTTCATTGTTAGATGTCATGTGACCTTGAAGTAACCAATGTGAGTGGGCGATGTTAGGGAAAAATTTCCAGCTATTATATATGATAATGCTTCATATTTCGCAATAAAAAAAGAGCTGAAAGAAACAGAAGTCAAAGAAAGGGTCGGGAGCCAGCCGTAGCCTGGATTGAAAGGAATGGGAGGCGGGAGATTTGGATCCACCTGCCCCCCCTAGTTCACACCCTTAATCTACTTAAGCATGCAACAAGGACAATGTAGTAGGCTGATTTAGCAAGAGAACGGGAACGTCACTTGACGACGGAAAAGAGCACGGAAAGGACTAGACTCGACTTCCGGTGCCCGATTTGCCGCTCTGTCATTGGTCAAGCAAGTTGTTTGATTTGCGCGCGCCACCCAGTCAACTGACGTTCCTTTTCTGTTGCTAAATCAGCCTAGTGTTCAGCAACTTCAACGACCCAAAATAAAAGAACTATATCAGCCTAAGAATATTAGCCTGATCGACTTTAAGAGAAGTTCAATACGTTTCTGGTTATTACCACTTAATGAGAGGTCATTCATGTAAAACGAATTCATCAAAGCAACCGTTGAAAGATTTTGAATGAAAGCTCAGGATCTTGCAAAGTTACATACAGCAATTACAAAGACCAACTCAACAAAGAAAAAAAATTAGTATGTGTTATGGTGAACTTCTACGGTCGCGTAATTTTTCCGTGCGTACATATGTAAATAGTACCACGGTACTGTCTTAAGTCATTTTCCAAAGCCCTGCACGCCATCATCAATCGCTGTTGTTTAGTATTTCTGACCTCTATGTATGAAGTGCTCAGTAACTCCATTTATCCTTGCATGTGTTTATACATGTGATAAAGATATCCACAATGATCGTGGCAGTATTCATCACACATCCAGCAAGTGAATCTTTCCTTGTCTCTAGCAGATCGTTTCTCGCAATCATGTCTCCTCAGAGCATTGTCATCAGTGAAATCTTTACCACATGATTCACATTTGTGCGGTGAATCAGAATGGAATTTTCTTTTGTGATAAAACAATGTCTGTTTCCGGGTGAAACATTTGTCACACTGAGTACACTTGAAGGGTCTTTCTCCACTGTGTATCCGCAAATGGACTTGTAAGTGAGATGAGCTTCGGAAACACTTTTTACACCGAGTGCATTTAAAGGGCGTTTCATTGGTATGTATTAACATGTGTCTTTTCAAGTGTGATGACCGTATGAAAGACTTTTCACACTGAGTACACTTGAAAGGTCTTTCTCCACTGTGTATCCGCAGATGGTCTTGCAAGTGAGAAGACTTTCTGAAACATTTTTTACACCGAGTACATTTAAAGGGCCTTTCATTAGTATGTATTAACAAGTGTCTTTTCAAATCTGATGATTGTCTGAAACTCTTGTCACACCGAGTACATTTGTGGGGTTTTACTCCGTTGTGTACCCCAAGGTGATAGTTTAAACCGGAAGAATGTCTGAAACACTTGTCACAATGACTGCACTTGTAGGG